TTTAGGGTTTGGGGTGTAGGCTTTCGGGTTTAGGGCTTTAGGGTTTATAGGCTTCTGGGTCTAGGGATATCATGATCGGTTATGCAACTTTTTTGAGATGTGCATGAAGGGTTTATGGTTCATGGGGAAGTGGCTTTTACAGGGCTTTATGGGTGTTGTGTGAGGCGTTATGCGTTGTGTTACTTTGTTTTTGTTTCCGAACTTGTTGTTGTTTTTTACCGTTTTATGTGGACGTCGCAGGATTGTAGGATTGTAGGGTTTTACAGGGTTTGCAACTGTCGTTCTGAAGCGCTTTTTCTTGGCTGTGTATGGAAGCATTTTCATAGAAACCGTAAATCCTAAATGCTAGGCTGCGAGATGAGGATTTGTGCTTTAGGGCTGCGGCGCTTTGACATTACACCTAAACTCTGGCCCGCAACGGAGGAGGAGAATAGGATTTTGGGTCATGATTGAGTGAGTTGGTGGATCTAGGCACATAAGGCCTAAACTCTCAGCCCTGTATGCCCATAAAGCCCTAGAGTGACCCCTTTAATGGAAAGGCGACCGAACTTTTGGGGAAAAACCACGTAAAATCCCTCTGAAGCCGCCAAGTTGCAGAAGCTACTATCCGGGCCTGAACAATCAATCAAGTAGACTAGGGCTTGAGTGGGTCACGAGATCGAAATTCGCAACGTGTGAGAAGCACCCACGCACATAATCCTACGAACTACCCGGGCCCCTACAGTACATCCATGACTCTCCCAGAGTGCCAAGGTTTCCTCTGGACGAGTTTCAGAGGTCGCTGATGGATGGGTTCTGGTTCCAGTGACTTCCAAAAGCCTCTGCAAGAGCAACATTCTATCGATTTGAGGTTGGTGGCTTTCGGGTTTCAGGCAGTACTGTAGGAGTCTTGAGTTTTCGTCAAGGAGCGTTCCATCAATTCGTGCCCTAAACCCTAAACCCCTAAACTCTAAACCCTAATGATGGATCCCACAGAACAGCAGGTGGTAGCAAGGGATCTGTGTGTAAATGGGAAGTCTGGTTCCGAGTGCAGGAGGGAGGGCTTGTGGAGTTACAGCAGTGGAACAAGATTCTTGCGAGCCGGGCTTAGGGTTTAGGGTGCAAGACCGCAAGGAAGATGGGACTTAACGGCTGTGCAAGAGTCATGATCTAAACCCTCAGCCCTGAAATGGTTAAGAGCCTTAAAACCTCAGAAGCCAGAAGCCCTGCACACCCAAAGTCTGCCAGCTGCTTCAGGCCCAGCCTGCCCAGAAACGCTGAACTTCGCTATTCCCCCAAACCCTAAATGCCCCAAATTCCCATAGCCCTGAGCCGTAAGCCTTAAACCCACCAGTACTCTCATGGATTTATCGGAGCCATCCGAGAAAGAAGCAAACAGTGTGCGTATGGCCCCTGTAGGAAGGAACCCTTAAGGAACCCTTAAACCAAACAGCCACAAAACGAAAAACAACCCTATCCCTATAGACCCTAAACCCTAAGCCCTGAACCCTAAATTAAGACGATCGCGCCAGGTCTCTTCGGAAGGCCTCGATGAGGCCTCGGAGGAGCTCGGTCTCGGACTCCATCATCTCAGGTCCGGGACTGATTCGTTGGGTCTTGAGCCTGTCTGAAGCCTAAACCCTACCTGGACCCCAAAGAACCTACCTTTTTTGGGGTTCCTTATTATGAATTCCTTATATAAGTCCTTAGAAAGGTAGGTTATTAGGGGTTGAGGTAAGCCCTAAGCCTTATCCAAAACGGTGCAGGGTTTAGGGTTTAGGCTTTGTAGTTGTTTCTGTTTGCTGATGGTTGTTGTTTTGGTGGTGTGTCTTGTTTCCTTGGCTGGAGAGATGGAGTACTTGGGTTATCAATTTGTTTGTAAGTTTGTTTTGTAGTCGTCTTGGCTATTTGATGTCGGTGTTGTTGTCCGTCGTCTTCTTAGCACACTGCGGCTCAAAGGTTGGGTTTGAGTTCGTTAAATCCCTAAACCCGAGCCCCCTAACCCTAAACTTCCCCTAAGCCCTAAACCCAAAGCAACTGTCCTAGGTTTGACCTCCTGCCTTTTCCCAAGTCTTATAATTCAGGGTCTCCAGTGCTTGGGTTTAATATAGGAGCATCTATATATATATATATATATATATTACCTACAATATTTCAAGGGATCCTTATTATACGTAAAACCCGTATTAAGGCCCCTACATTAGTGTCGTAGGGCTTTGGGTGTAGGGTTCAGGAGTATTTAGGATGCTGTGTGGGCTTTAGATATGCTGGGCTTTAGCATTGTAGAGTTTACATGTCTTTAGGTCTGATAAGTCGCTCCTTCAGCTTCCTATGAAAGGGTTCATGCTTCTAAATCTAAGCTGGTATAGAGCTAAGGGCTTAGACTCTTTGCATGTCTCTGCAGGGGTTGAGTCCTCTAAAGGGGTTCAGGTCTTCGGGAACCCTAAACCCTAAACCCTAAACCCTAAACCCTTTAGGGGTTTAGGGTTTAGGTCTTCGGGCTTTGGCTTTAGAGGTTTAGGGTGCAGGATTCGGACGCCCGGCGAGGCCCAAACCTGCGATGCGAAAGCGTACTACTCCAGGCTCAAATCATGCATCTTGCCGTCGGAGATGTTAAGGGTGAGTGAGGTTTGGGCGGAGCTTTTGGTTAAAATAAAGGCCGTGACGACTTGAAGAGACTACTCGATGATTTGCGATAGGGCCGTGTCTTGAAGCATGCTCTCAGCAGCCATGAGGGGGTTTCCGAAAATAGGAGACCCTAATATAGTACCCTAAATAGTAGGATCCCTACTATAAGGACCCCAAAATAAGGTACCCCTTGTTTTCGGAAACTCCCATGAAAGCTATCTTGAGAGCTGTGACCTTCTGGGGACTCGGGACTGCAACCTGGTCGTTTCTTCTTGCCCATCCTGGCTTCGTCGTTGCGAGCCGCTCGCGTTTTGCGTCGGCGCCGCTTCAACATACCCGGTGCTCATGCAGATGCAGGCATGCACCGGCTCCAACTTTTGCAGTCTTGCTAAGCTCCGAGAAATCCGCGCGGCCCAGCCACACTGCGGCGGGGGTGTCTCTTCTGAGAGCTCGAACAAATAGCCGGCTGGCCTGCTTGAGGCACGTCGGTGATGGGCTGTGTGACATGCCAGCTGAGCTGGGACAAGTCTTGACGGTCGCAGCGGGGGGTCTTCACACCTGTGCAGTGCTTTTAGATGGTCAGCTGGTCTGCTTTGGAGCCAACAAATCCGGGCAGTGTGACGTGCCAGCAGATTTGGGACCAGTTCTGGCGGTTTCAGTGGGATCTCAACATACCTGTGCAGTGCAGGCAGGTGGTCAGCTCGTCTGCTTCGGAGCTAACCAAAATGGGCAGTCTGACGTGCCGGCAGATTTGGGACCAGTTTCAGCGGTCTCAGCAGGCGAACATCATACTTGTGCGGTGCGTGCAGATGGTCAGCTCGTCTGCTTTGGATCCAACCTGGCCGGGAAGTGTGATGTGCCAGCAGACCTGGGACCGGTTTTTGCTGTCTCAGCGGGATTTTATCATACCTGTGCAGTGCAGACAAATGGTGAGCTCGTCTGCTTTGGAGCCAACCATAATGGCCAGTCTGACGTGCCAGCAGATTTGGAACGAGTTTTGGCGGTCTCAGCTGGTGAATATCACACTTGTGCCGTGCAGGCAGATGGTCAGCTCGTCTGCTTCGGAGATAACGCACTTGGGCTATGTGATGTACCAGCAGACCTGGGACCAGTGTCCGCGGTCTCAGCAGCTTATTATCATACCTGTGCAGTAAGGACAGATGGTCAGCTCGTATGCTTTGGACCCGCCGTTGATGGACGGCGTGATGTGCCAGCAGAATTGGGACCAGTTATAGCAGTTTCAGCAGGCTCACTTCATAATTGTGCGGTGCGGGAAGATGGTCACGTCGCTTGCTTCGGACACAACGGAATGGGACAGTGTGATGTGCCCAGAGTGCCTCAGTGACTCTTGCCCATTCCTTGTCACTTCACCTGCCAGCTTTGACAGCGGACATGGCCGCAAGAATCCAGGCCCATGCAGGCCAGAAGCTGATACGCCAAATCACGGAGAAAGGCCTCTGCAAAATCCAGAAGCAGCAACACGACGAAACATGCGTGAGCATGAGGATCCCGTTCTCTAAACCCAAAGTATCAACCCTTAGCCTAAACAGTCGTAAGCCCTGCCCTTTTGTCTCGTCGAAATAAATATGTTAATCTGTCGCTTGCGGACCCTATGCTTCGACTTTGCAAAGCTGAGATGTGTGGCGTTTTTTTGGTAGCCTTTAGCACCCCCGTATACGCATTTGACCATATATATATATATATATGTAAATGTGTGTGTAGATATGTGTA